AAATAAAATGGCTCCATCCATGTTAAAATATATTTTAAAAAATTTACAAAACTAAACAGCCTACAGTATTTTTACAGTCTTTATTTTACAGTTGAAATATATGTTTACTCAAATAGAGTCTAATGTTACAACTAATCGGGGATCCCTTTAAGATATTCTCCTTCTTCAATAGTTACAGAACAATGCCAAGGAAATCCATTAACTCAACCATTTTTATACACACTAAATCATATTCCGAGAGGCTGGTGTCTGTCTGTCTCCACCAGGAGATATGCGGGGTACAGCRTGGACAGTTCATCACAGAGCTCACATAAATGCAGATTCACTGAAATCTAAGACAAGGGTTTAGGTGATAGGTTTGTGTCATGTTGTGATTATTGAATAATGTCATTGTGAAATTGGATATAAGCAGGAAAAGTGGCATCATGATGGCTGCTTCCAAATTCAGCCATGTTTTAATTAATTGGCTGAGAAGGTGGATGGGTTGTTATTCAGCGTGAAGGGAGTCTAATAGCATAATATGAAATTTGGAACCTATTATTACTTTAAAATGTAAGCACTGCAGCAACTATAAAAAACTGCTAACATGTGTCACATTGTTTCACATCATTAGACATTCTTTTTTATATATATAAGGTATTTATAAGAAAAGATTTATGTAAGTAACATACAAGATATTTAGCAAATGCTTCAAGATGAGCATACTGGTATGAAAATGAGAACAAACATTTGAGCAAACATTTCAACAAAATGAGTAACTTATCTAAAAAAAGATGACAATAATTATGTAAAACTATTTTTTTTCCTACTCTTTAGAGTGTGCCCAACTCTTCCACAAGGCTGGGGCCAGACTGATCTTGTGTGGGACCAACTGGGACAAGCTGGAGTCTTTGTATGAATCTCTAACAACCGATGCTGACCCCAGTGAGGTGAGGAAAGGAAATGTATAAATCAACAATGCATAGCATTTTTTTTTGTTTGGATGATCAATATGACAAAAAAACTCCCTCAAACAAACATTATAATTATCTTTATTGCTGTTTTGAGTCATCTTTATGACTAACCTCTGATATCTACCACAGAGAACTTTAGGATTAAAGAAAGTGTTCTAAAAACATTTACAAAAATCTCTCCTTAGCCATTAGCTTTGGTGCTAACTACTGCTGCTGTCACTGTTGTTCACTAGATTAGAACACAGTGGGATCTTTTCTTGTTTTCATTATAATCCTGCTCTGTTAGCACCTCCCAGATCACCACTTCCTGTGGTCAACACAATAGAAGGATATCCTTTCTGACAGCATGCTGTCCTCATGAGTTGTCAGCACACAGGGCCACATGTCTTTCAGCAAACACAACTTTACATAGCTGTAGATGATATGTAGCAAATAAATACAATTTAGAGTTGTTGAGAAATAAGTTATAGTCATTTTGGTCAAACCTTGAAAATAATGATATGAAATTTTTTTCCATTATATTGAAACATCTTGCACTCAGAGTATTTGTTGTGAATAATTCTCGGGTCCTACCTTGATAGATTTCAGCTCAATGCCAGTAAATCTGACATTGTTGACATACTGACAATAAGGTTGACTATCCATGGTAGTTATCTTGCTGGTTGACGCACTTGCGTATTAGTGAATTTTCTGAGTTTCATTGTGCCATGATGGGAACCATAATTTCAGCTAGAGAGTTCCTCTGTGATGGAGACTTGGTGTCCAGTAAAGCAACACCTGTCTTTATAGACGTTTGCACCAAAACTGGTGATCCTGGACTTCAGTGATATGGACAGCATGGAGGATGTGGTGGCTGAGGTGATGGAGTGTTATGGTTATGTGGACACACTCATCTGCAACAGCAGCATGAAGCTGAAGGCCCCGGTTCAGAGTGTCTCCTTGGAACTGGACAGAAACATTATGGACATCAACTATTTTGGCCCAAGCACTCTTGCCAAAGGTGGGCTGGATGTTGTTGGGGCTCAACCCCTAATAATATTTTAACAGTCTGAGTTTATAATTTGTGATATTATCTAATTAATATGTCWAACTATCGTGGCAGGTCTACTTCCAACAATGATCTCAAGAAGATCAGGCCACATTGTTCTGGTCAGCAGCATCCAGGGCAAACTGGCTGTCCCATTCAGAAGCTCATGTAAGTCTCAAACCAAGGCTACAGGCTCTGGTCTGAAAACCAAGCTGATGATAAATAAGTTGTTAAAACAAGTGGTTCAAATCCGCCTATGTTAATTTTAAAAGTGTATAAATATAACCAAGGTGGGTACAAGTCAGGCCAATGTGTTATACAGTTTTATTTATATTTATTACTTTTATTTAACCGGGGAAATCCCATTGAGATCACAAATCTCTTTTACAAGGGAAGGCAGTCTAACTCATGATTTTTGCTTGATTGTGGGATGAAACCGGAGTGCCCAGAGAAAACCCACACATACACAAAAATATGCAAACTCCACACAGAAAGACCCCCAGGTCTAAGCTGGGAATCAAACCCAGGATCTACTTCCTACAAGGCAACAGTGCTAACCAGTTAGCTKTTGTGCTGCCATTATGACAGGAGCAATGAAATGACATGCATGGCCTACCATACAGCTTTTCATGCTGTGAACACTTGCACTTTTGTCCCTCAGTGGAGAAATTCTTTCTCTGAAAGTTTCCTAACGCACATGTTTGCACACATGTGGAGCAGTGGGCTGCCATTTAAGGCACCCGAAGGGTGTTTGAACCAAGGTCGGGCCCACTTCCAGCCTGACTTCTGGAACCCAGAGACCTGGGGTTCTATTCAGGCTGGGCTTCTGGGGCTTAAGCTTTGTCTCACTCTGTTTCATCTTGTTCTACATGGAGAACAAAGTACCACGAGCTCGAAGTCATTCGTTGTGACCTGTTTGAGACAGCTACACCTTTTTGTTTCATCAATATGTCTTCTGTTCGCTGACAGATGCAGCCTCCAAACATGCGGCTCAGGCCTTCTTCGACTGCCTGAGAGCTGAGGTGGAGGAGTACGGGATCATTGTCAGCACCATCAGTCACACTTTCATCAATGCCTCTGACCCGCCTCCTGTCGTGGAGCCGGCCCCAAAAACAAACGCCCTGCTTGAATGTGAGTTTTTAAAAAATGGTGTGACGTAATCAGCCGGCTTTAATTTTTTTTCTTTGTAATGTCGAGCCAAATCTAAATCTGTTGTGTCGTCCCCCCCAGATATCAACAACCAGCTCACCCACGGCGTGCGCCCGCCAGTCCTGGCCAATGAGATTATGCAAACAGTGAACAGGAAGAGGAAGGAGGTGGTGCTAGCCCACCCCATCCCCAGGGTGGCCCTCTACCTCCGCTCCCTTTTTCCACCTTTCCTCTTCGCCGTGCTGGCAGCAGGAGTGAAGGATTCAGTGTTGGCCGAGCAGATGCAGTAGGAGAGATGCTGAGAGGGAAGAAAAGTCTGAGTGTGTTGAAGAGATGTGAAGGAAAGCACGGCTTGTTTAGGAATGTTAAATATAAATATGGATGTCCTAAGTGCACCAGCAGCTCCATCCTTGACATGTCCTAACAGGACATTAAAGCAACTCAACTCTGAAAAATGGAAAAATTAAAGAATTAAGTTGTTTTGTTTGTTTTCTGTTGAAACGCTTCTTTTAGTTCCGATGAAAAGAGAAACACCTGCAGTTTTTAAAATGTTTATTTCAAAGAATCTGTAACAAGCTTTTTGGACAAAAGGACTCGACAGAACAGATTTATCAAAAAGCTGCAAAACTTTTAGATTGCAGAATAAATAAACTACCCGAAAAGACACATCTTAAACTTTTCATCTTGAAATGTTTTAGCTTTTTCAGTGTTGAATATTGTTGAATATTTCCTCTCAGAGGATTTCAGTATTGCTCAAGCTGTTAAATTAAAAAATATATATTAGTTGTATTAATGTCTAATACACTTTGAAATAAAAGAAACAACACTTGCAAGATGTATGCATCTTTGTATACCTGTCAAAACATTTAGAAATGACATAAAACACGAGTACAATTTATTTAAAAAAATGGTGTAAAACTAGTCAGATTTGGTAAATGTTATTTTCTTTTCATAAATAATTGTGAAATGTAACTAAAATCATTAAAATTTTAAATAAGGTTCTAAACAAGTGCACACGTCCTTTTCCCACATTTATCTGATTCACATGTCCTGTAGATGGCAGCAACACACCTTCTTACACGGTACATCTCGGAGGTCTGCACATTTTCCCCCTTGGAGATAGTTTATTTAAGGACTGCCACTTCTTCTTTTGTGCTGCACTTGTTCATTCTCACTTCTATGAGCTCACATTACAAAACATAATAGTCAAGAACATGGATCGGTCAGCAAATGATTGAAAAAGCAACCAAACTTTAAAAGGACCCATCAAAAAGCCTGAAAAATAATGATAAGACCTCAATGAACAATTGCAAGGAAGTCTGGCTCATTCAAAACAAAATATAAAGAAATTAGGGGTGGTTTAAAACTTTTACACAGTAGGCATACACTGGTCATGAAAAGTAAAAGTAAAACAAAAAAGATTGTTCTAATGTCATATAATGCATCATATAGGACTTTTGTTAGCCTATTGTTTTTCAACATTTATTGTTTCACGTCTGTTTAATAATAATGGCCTCCATACAGCATCATAAAGATATAATTAAAATAGGCTTTGTTGACACATTGTAATCATGAAATTTTTATATTTTTATATTTTGTACTGTTTCCCTCACATCTTGTAATAACAAAAATTATTGTTATTGTATGTTGCCTTGTAATGTACAGCAGAAAGGGAAAATGTTTATTTGCTTCTTGGCCCTTCTCAGTGCTTATAATTGGATTTACATTTGAATTGGATGTCAACTCATTCCTACAAAGAGCTTCTTAAGGAACTTCTCTTTCGAGTAATGAAGTTAAACAACGGTGTTGTCTTGTGTTCTCTCTATGCTTCTTTCTCTTCTCTACTCCTTCTTTCCCTTTTAACCTTTTTGGCACCTTTTCCGTTTCTTTTTAAATTTATTTTCCATCTTTCTGTCCATTATGTCAAAATAATCCCAAAAGAATTTCTAATAAAGTTTAAATATACATCAAGTGGAGCATCATGGTGAAAGCCACAATGCTGCACATGTCTGTAGGAAACAGCAATGGTTAGGGATGTCACTCTCAACGAAACTCTAAAACTAATTTGACTAAAACGGCAACTTTAATTAATCTGAACACTAACAATCCATACCACCACCCCTATGGGCCTAAAGAGGCCCCTTGTGATCTGAAAGTGGCCTGCAGGCCATCAGTTGATGATCACTGTTCTAAAATTAAAAGCCTAGAACTTATTGAATAAATGCATATCACCCAACACCTTTAAAGTCAGAGTTTTACTCTAAAATCCATTTGTCATGAGCTATAGCTGTTTTTTTTTGTCAAATTTAGTAAATAACGTTACGTATAATCTTACAGAATATTTTTAAGATCTTCTTTTGTGTGTGTAGAGAATGACCTGCAGATCATCAAGTTTTAGGTCTGTAAAACTGATCAAGTTACAGCCATTTTTATTGTTTTGTAGGGTCAGTCTGCTGTGGCAATCATCGTGAATTGGTTTGACTTTAAAAGTTAAGCAATTGCAGATTTACATCTAGTAAATCACTGATGGTCTCATTAAAATCTGTTCTGTGGTCATGAGATATTTTGCTAACACACACACACACACGCACACACACACACACACACACACACGCACACACACACACACACACAC